GACATTTTCTAGATGGTTCCATGTTATCAGAAAAAAATGGCACGTCAGAATAGGTTATCTGAAAGAGAACCCAAAAGAAGCGATCGGATTAAGAATATTAAGGGCGACGTTTTTCAAATCATGGCCAGTAAAAACATGCATTGTCTAAGTTCTACTGTTCGATAAAAATATTATAAAATCAACGTAATCACCAATAGCTCATATTTGAATGTTGTATTCTGCATTTGATTTTTTTTGCTTTTACTGTTTTGCAGCTATTTTTGAACGCAATCGATTGTACCGGCACCTTCTTTTCCTCTGTTGAATTTTCGTCTCAAACTTCGCTGTGGGGATTTTTTCATGAACGGCCGATAATTCCCAACTGAATAAACTGACTGCTTTTATGGAAATTTTGACGTCAAAGGAACTTGTGATGGAGTTCTGGGATTCGGGCCAGTTTTCGAGCGAGAAGTGATGTTCTATATCATCGAAGTGGGCAGCTGCAAATGACCGTAGAGTCAACGAACGGGTCTCTCTTTTTTATTCTATCTTTCGTTTATTTTTTTATTTTCTTGAGCCGCTTTCTTTCATACAAAGTTTGCATCACAGGCCTGCGAATGATGCCAACAACCACGAAGACAGCTTTCCAAAAGAAAGCACTTTTAGAATGCAAAAGTGCGGACGCATGTGCTAGGCCCAGCTAAGCTTCTCTTCGGGCTCTGCGAAAAAGAAAAAAAAGATGAGAGCGATGGGGGTTCAGGCCAGAACAGGTCAAAATCTGGCGAGGCCGTGGATTGGGTTCTCTGAAAGTTACTCCCACTTATTATTGCGGAAAACGTATGGGCACATTATACTGTATGAAGACATTCCATCTTTTTCACATAAATTCGAGATTGCTCTCCAAAAGTAATCGCATTTACACCATGCAGCATTTTTTAATGAAGCACGAATATTATGAGCTCGATTTGACAACAGAATTCTACCGAGATCAGCAAGTTACACAGCTATTAGCAATGCATTAGCATTATCGATCTTCAAGCTAAATGTTTGTCGAGCGCTGAAGTTCAAGTTGAGGGAAAAATATTTAAAATTTCTGCCAAAATCATCATACATCACACGAACTGACGCATCTGCTCTGACAAACGGAAAACTGAAATTCCCCAAAAGACGCGTTTTATGGCAATCGAAACATAGTCTGCCTCCCGTATGAAAAGAAAATGTGGTTCGCTCGTATTCTATGAACCTTAATGGTTCTCTGACAGATTAAAATTAGCAGAAAACCCGATAAATCTGAATTTAGCAGAAGGTTATTCACTTCTTATCGAGGGGCGGGGGGGGGGGGGGACTGCCAGTTTTTGGCTTCCTCGAAATTATTAGTTTTGGCGTCGTGGAATTTATCGAATGAACCCGGGAGATCGCTGAAGAATCGTTGGACGGGTGCCAGAAAGTATACTCACGGTATGGCGAAAGAAACTTCTCCGGAGGCTTTTATCATTCCGCTGCATAAACCAATACCAGCAAAAGTGTGTATTCCAGGTACCCATGTGAATTCTATGAGAGATTCAATAGATTTCCGTGCTTCAGCTGTATTACAGAAGCACTAGTGAGGCTTTCGAGGGACAAAGAGATTTGAGGAATGAGCCCGGAAGCCGACGGCCGGATTATCGCTTTCCCCGGGAAGTGATTTACTTCCCTCGTTTTCTGAGCCAAAGCCAACAAAAAAAAAAAAAAAAATTGGGACCAGCATCCTTCTCTGCTTCTGAACCTTGTTATAGCAATTACGCCGTATTTCAATTACATTTCCAGTTCCATTTAACAGAAACAAATTGCGGGTTATGAACCCTCGGAGGCGTTTCATGCGGCACCGCTGGTACTGGAAAGCCGTGTTGAGCAATCGCTTTCTTCCTGACGTCATGGTCGTTCGCGCAATCCATCATTAGTTGCATTTAATTTTGTAGAGCAGATTCCTGCTGAAAATGTCGGGCTTGCTGTTAACTGCAAGAATTTTTTTTTTACAATAAGTCTGGCAGAGAAAACAAACCGACATCAATGGAATATTTGTAACCAGAAATTGCACGCGTTCGCTGAAGTTTTACAGCGACACGTACTAGAGTACTAGACAATTTAAGTGTGCTAGAAAATGCATAACATTTTTGTATAGGTTGAAATCACTCCTTTGATAGTTGAATTTAATTTCTTAGAAAAGACATCCGCTAAAATTACCTGACTCTGTTTTCTACAAGATTTTTTGACAAGTTTGGCAGATAAAGCAACCCAACTTCAACGGAATATTTGCAGCCAAAAATTGTAAACGTTCACTAAAGTTTTACAGTGACACTGAACATTGTTGTGAGTTTAAAACGAAAAAAATTCACAGGTTCGAATAACTCATCTGATGTCCTTGCCGCTGTAATATAAGAAGGATATTAACCGAGGCACCATTCTTCGTAATTTTCTAGTTTAAGCTGCGTTTTTGCACAACATTTGTGGGCAGATTTTAGCCAGATATTGCCAACTGTTCAAGAATACTAGCATTTAGATGACAGAGGGTGATATTCCTCTTTAAGGCCATGTCACAGCCATCACACTCATGTTTTTATAGGCTGGTACGTTTCGTTATGACCAAATGTCACTAAATTCTCGTACTATCTGAGTCCAAAATTCGTGGGCACTGCTAAAATCGGGTTGTTTTCCCCAAGGCCTTTTATGGTAATCCTATGGCAGTATTGTGCAAAAATAGCAGTGCCCCCTACGAATTTTCTGGGAAGCATTTTCTACATAAATGAAAATCAAAATATTTTCATACTTGTGCATTTTTGATACGTCCTGAGTTAAGCGACAAATTTTGAGAAGATATCCTGGCTCTGCTCTTCCTGTAGGGACACTGGCTACCAGTTACCCATTCCTGAATTATCGCTGATGAGAATTGCACGGGACCGATTGGCGATTGAGGTAAACGTTTGGTTTCCGGGCAACGAACGTTTCCTCCATTCGTTACAAAGCTTAGCCTGAGGTTGAAAACCTCAGGATATGTAGGAAGCAACCAATTAGCGATTCTGCGGCCCGGCGACGATGAGAAATCTGCGTCGCTTAAAAGGTCCCCGAGTAGCTGGCCGGGACCTGAAGGCCCCAAAAACCCGGCAGCAGCCCGGGTCAATATATCGACAAACGAGCCTCTCCTCCGTGTCCCATCACTCATCCTCTCCCCGGGCCTGAATCCAGATCCCTTTTCACCCCAGCAGCCATCCGCAAGATACCATCAAGTTTTCTCAACCAGGGCTCTTTCTTCCTCTTTTTTTTCATTTTTCCCCTATATATGCCGGGTCTCGATCGTCGCGAAGTATAAGGCCGTCGAAAACACTTGAGCTCTCGATTCGCACCAGCCCGTCAGTTCCTTTGTTCCTCACTGGGGAGCCTGGATTATGAAAAGTGCGTTTAATTCACCGACTCTGCTGCTTCAATAAAGGGGCGCCTCTCGATACAGAAAATCAGGACGCGTCGCTCTTGTATATACGGGGACAGTGATCCAGCTCGACGAGGCTTCTTATTTCCAGAATTAATATAAATAAAAATCCCCGGTTTTGTTTTACTGTGACATTTTGTGCAGGCGAAGCGAGAAATTCTACACACACACACACACGAAATACCAGTTCCGCGGTAAAATATTTCTTAAAGCTGTTCTTGAACATGGAGCTATCGTTCACCATTCCTGGGAGGAACGTCGATACGCTGCAATCACTTAAATGAGGACAGTTTTTTCTGAAAATCCGCAGTTTTCATTTGCTGTATTTACCATCGACTTCAATATTGTTGGGAAACCACCGCCGCACACCGAACAATGCTAAAATTAAATTGAAATGAATTATAAAAAACCCGCGAAAATCTGATAAGAGTTCCAACCCTCCAAGGGAAGGAACTCACCAAGGACAACAGCAATTCAACAAAAGAAAACCAGAAACCGATTTCCGTTTCCCTGGGATTAGTGTTGTATTGTTGAAAAACTTACTATTTGTGGGACAAATTTCTTGAAATATATTTCTAATTTAAATCAGGGAGACCAAAATAATGTTCCAGGCCTAGTCCCAGGCTGATTCTGTTTTTTTATTTCAATATTTCTGAAAACTTTACTTTACAAATTGATCCACTTGCAAATATTCCAACATATTTATGTTGAGGTAAGTTCTTCCCCAACAAATATTGAATATTGAATTGTAAATTACGTTCAGCATTGAACGTTTCTATCGCCAAATGAGTTTTCGTCGAAAACTTGCGACCGGAAGCTCGGCCACTGCATATAATCCAAGGGTACATGACAAAAATGTGCTGATTTTTCTGAGATGAAAAAAGGGGTTTATTTAAACATTACGTTTTTACGAATATAATAGGCCGCATTCAAGTAGCTTTCGGCCAAGTATGCGCGCAATATATTTGCGTGTAGGCCGCAAAACAGTCTGTGTCTCATATGCAAATATGCTAATTTATGACGTTGAGAAAATACAGCATCTACGAAAGCTATTACAATTCTTACGGGAAAAATGACGTTCTTTTGAACCTAAATTTCTGTTGAAAATTTCTGGTTTTTTTTTTCTCCGGTAGCTTTTCGGAATCTGCGAACGGCCTATAAACAAAAAGGAGTTAAAATAAAGCTTCCTGGGCATGTTTCTAAACATAACTTTATGAATATCGTAAATTCCTCGTATTATGAACAAGTGACACATGGAATCTTTACATTTCCTGTTGATCCCGACTGATCCGTTGACTTCAACCTTTGGGTCGAAAATTGTATGATTATTCTCCACTGTTTCATCCTCGAAAGGAATGATTCTGTGAACGTAAAAATTTTGCAAGGAGCCTAGATTATTAGCGTGAACGTTTCGAGATTCGTTGAAATTGAATTCGAATGGCGTCACACGCATGTGTATAATACTGTAACCGGATTTGCAGAACAAGAACCCCGACCCTGATGCGGTTTATTCGATGAACTCGGTCGAAAATTTGCCGACGGAAGTGCGGACTGGGTTGCAGAAACGAAGAGGAAGCCTATTTTCATTCGTTTCAGTCGTGAATGCGGTTGCAGCTGCGGGCTTCCGAGTGCGAAGTTGTTGTCGGCGGCACGTTATTACCCGGCGGAATTTAGCATAACCCCGTGAACCAGGCGGAATGGGATCGAAATTGCCGGTCCCGGCGTTTCTCTGCTTTCTTGTGAGCCCCTATTCAACAATCTAAAGCGATATGCAAATCCTTATGATGATTCTTCTTTTCTTTCGCGACGAAACGAAACGCAGACGCTGTGTTTCCTTCCGGCTGCTGAAATGAATTCGTCGGACAACGATTTTGTGAATGTTCTGCGGTGGACAGAAACTTTAATCGGTTCCCAGAACCGCGGCGACAAACCCTTGAAGATCCGGAATATTTTGACAATATCTAAACAGGTCAGTGCTCTTCACCATCCGCAGTTTTCCGTCCTGAAATGATCTCTTAAGAAGTCTCCCACTGCAATACTGCTCTGGAAATCACAAAATAATTTGGTTGTGCAGAGAATATTGTTTTAAAATAGCTGATTAAGCATTGATACGGTCAGCAGAGACCCGACAAAATCTAGCAAATAAGAGTAGACCAATTTATTCGTAGAGCTAGGGCACTTGTACTTAATGCGGTATTTAAATATGTGGTGATGCTTATACTAGTTGCAGTACGTGAAGCCGAACACTAATTCAGACCGTTTCGAAAGCGTTAAATTTGTTTTGAATTGCTTGAAATCAAATAATGAGAAGGTTAAATGAATGAACTCCCTGCTTTGATCAAGCTAGAATCCAGCCTTGAAAATCTAAAATGTCCGTACTTGTCGATCAAGAATATGAAATGTAACTGAAGTAAATGTATTCCACAATCAATAACGGAATAAAATGAATAATTTCCAACAAAAATGTTGAACTTATCATGCATCACAGGAAAATAATCTGCCCCTCTTCATCAATGCGTGAAACCCATCCGGTTCTGTTACGGGTTTTGCAGAAACAGTCTCCACATTTGTCTTCCCAAATTTGTATTCCCGAATAAACCCCGTTAATGCAATAGATGAAAAAAATGGAAGTTCAAAGCAGAAGTCATTCCTGTTTGGTGGCACTCGATTTCCAATAATTTTTCGTCTTGTCAGAGGTTCGGTTCGTTTATACTGCATGACCGTCAAATACGGGAACAAAACTTTCTCGCGAGTTTTGAAAACTGGGTCAGATTTGTCTCAGCTTCAGTCTGCATCAACTGGAGTGAGCTGTTGAGCAATTTTACTCTGATGTGATGAAATTTATGTCCACAGATGGTGACTGGAAACTTCTACGACATGAAACTGGAATTCTCTCGAGCCTCTTGTCCCAAGGACCATGCAAACGATTGCGCATTCGACGCTTCCGCGGTAATGAAGGGTTTAGCAAATGTGTTTCAGCTTCAGTAAACTAATGAGACGGGATTTGAATCTTTCACATAGACGCCTTTGATCTGCGAAGTGAAGGTCTATGACGAGCCGATTTCGGGGACACGAACTTCGCCCAAATTTTCCTGTTCTTCAATGCAGAGAGAAGGCAACAATTCGACTCTTGAATTGAAAGCAGGAGACCCCGAACCATCTTCAGTGGAAGGTGAGGATGATGACTGATCGCGTCGAGAGTTTCTCGGCCTCGAAAAAAAACATTGTGAACGATTAATAAGCATGAAAAAAAAAATCTTCAATTTATTTTTTCGGGCTTCGAAGAATGAAAATTTTCCGTTCTCGTCAACTTCATTCTGATCTGCAGACATAAGTCATCGACTATTTATTCTTCGCCATCTCTGCTAAATTTCTGTTGTTCTTATGTTTTACCAAAATGTAAAGTGGGGGATAATTTGCCTCAGTTTATGGCGTTACAGCAAGATTTGCTTCACTTTTCGCCGAGGAATTTGCTTCAAGTTCGTTACTGGTGTGGGTTTTACTGACATTCTATTCCCTCGAGTGCAAAGAAAAAAACTTTGTCGCTCAAGTTTTTCAATAAAGGAAAAGTCGTTTTTCAATGTAACGAACCCTACTCGGCGGATGAATGTTTTCAGTTTGCGTTGCAGTCAGCTTTCGTCGCTGAAGCTTTTGAATATTTTAGTGACGACGACGACGACGACAGAATCCAGTGCAAAATTCTGCGAATCGATTCCGAAAGGCCAGTTGAATGCTATTTCCAAGGAGGGCATTACGAAACTGTATGCTGCTGCTCAATCCGGGGACGTTCCTTTGACTGAGAAGTTGCTGAATTGCGGCGCAAATCCTTTGAGGTGATTCATGTCCGTTTCATTTGGAAGTGAATATGTCTTGAAAAATTCATCTTAATGGCTGTGAAACGACGAGGAAAAAATACTTCATAAGTCGATTCCCCTTGAATTATGACCACCTTCAGTTCAATTTGCAATTTTAAATTCGTTTTGATCAATTTCTAAAAGTTTTAAAGTTAAGTTTCAAGAGAAGAGAGGCACGAATTTTCCTCAGATGGAGGTAGTAGATCTCTTCAGAGAAACGCTTATGTAAAATTCGTAGCCCCTATTGAAAAATCTGCGGTAATCTCATTATCTAATCTTGTTAACAATGGAATAAATGATGTGTTGTCTGCATGTCCGAACTTCGAACCTCTATACCCAGTCTTGCTACCAAAACTCTTTCAATAAAAATGAATCATTCTTTTTCTGATCACTTGAGAGTAGGTATTTATAAAGAAAAGGTCAGAGAAGAAAACTCAAATCCTCTGTGAGGCTGGAAGTCACAAAGATTTAGGTGGAATAAAGGTACAAAGCAATCAGCCTTCATGAGGCCGGATCCTCCTTAATGGAGTCCCAATAAAGTTGGTTTAATCCACAGGACAAACACACAACTCAAACAAGCAATTCCCAACACACAAGACCTTCCAGGTAAATATCAATCAGTAACACAATGCACAATTTGAATAGCAGACAATCAGACACTTGGAAATCTCAGAGATGTTTTCCCTAGCAGGCAAAGTCAGCGAGTGTCCATACTGGGCGTCGCTGGCTTCCTTTTCGACTTTGACCAGAAATGGTCTCAGTAGTAAAATAAAACAAAGTTTTGAGGTAGCAGGTGTTTTACTGGATGGTAACAGGAGCTTCCATCCTGCCCATCTGTACCTGGTACCACTTTCTCTTTTTCTTCAAGAAGGCATTGCTAGGGGCTACAGAGTAGCCCCAGCGCGACCCAACAAACCCCCTCCCTTTGGGCCCGGTTGGCCACGATGCTGGCCGGGGGCCAAAGGACCCCTGAGAAGGGGTTGTGCAGATGTTGCTGGTGCAGGGAGGTGGTCCGCCTGTCTGCGCCTGCACCGTCTGGCCAGGGTGGAAACCTTGACTGCGTGGGCGCTGGAAGATGGCTGTGCATCAGAGCGTGAAGTCAGTCTGGAATTAGAAGAGAGTCATCAGTCCAACATTTTGACCAGTGTCGACTGGAGCTCTGAGAGCTGAAAGTCAACCTCCGCGACACACTAAAGGGAAAAAAAAACTTTTCCGAAGTTTCTCCAAAGGATCCCAAGATTGCAATTGTTTTTGATGTGTGTCAAGCAGTGATTCCTTGTTTCTGTGCTCCCTTCCGTCTTGCTGATCGTTGGGTATACCAAGGTGATGTCATTGAATTTGGTGCTGGCACCTGCAGAACAACGTTTTCAATCTTCAATGCGTGCTAGCCTTACTGCTTTTTGGCTTTTCAGCCTGAGTATCAGGGTCCTCCACTGCGGCAATGGGCGTCCCCACATCGCGGGGATATTTTTGTGCACCTTCCGTGCCCCGGCTTTGCATCTTAGGCCTTCCCCCTTCCAAAGGCTTTGGTCAGTGACCTAGGCTCGTTTGCAAAGTGGCGCCCCCGCACCCACGCAAGGAGTAGCGGCACGTTGCATTGGCATATCCAACAACGTTGGAGGAGCCGGTCTTGTGTTTAGACCCATGGTCATTCATTACGCTTTTGTGCACTCAATTCCTCCTCTGCTCTCATTCCAGGCTGTGTTTGTGATCTTTCTCCGTTGTCGACATAACCATCGCCTTAGCGCAAAAGGATCAGATCCTCGTTGTTGCGCCGCGTCTTTCAGGGCTACTGTCATTGGTCATCATCTCTGCTGATTGCCCTTCCATTCCGCTTCTCGCCGTCTTTTGCCATGGTTGCCATGGTTAGGTGTTTTACCAGATGGTAGCAGGAGCTTCCATTCTGCCCATCCGTACCTGGTACCACTTTCTCTTCTCCTTCAAGAAGGCATTGCTAGGGGCTACGGAGTAGCCCCAGCGCAACCCAACATCCTCCTTATGGCAAAAGAAATTTGATTTTCTTTTCTTGTACTCATCCCCATGATTTCCCACTCTTCCAATGTTTTCCTCTTTTGCTTCGCCTGGATGATTTCATTTTGTTAAATACTCAGAGAAAAATGCCAAAGCTTGAACTGAAGAATATAGTTCAACTTGTATCTCTTTTGAGTCACTCTCTCCCATAAGCGGATGACACCTAAAAAAATCAGCCTTTTTAGAGGTTCTCATACAAATTTCTTCTACATGTATCAATTTCTACAGATGAGAAGACTAAGAAAAATGAGACTTTAAGTTCCACCTCAAATTACGGGCGTAGTCATCCTGATATATTTTTTTAACTCTTCCCAAAATTTTAAAACTCAATTTACTTGGAAAATAAAGATATTCTTAATTTTTTCTACATATCATTCCATTGAAATATGGTTAAGTTCTTGGGCACTAGTTGAGAACCTCATCTGTATTACAGTTGGACTCTCTCTACAACAATGTTTTCTACAGCAATTTTCTCTGTATAATTATTTTTTGTGGTCCCTTAGGATTCTCTCCTCATGCATGTAATAGGGGTCCTTTACAACGAACCTTTTCTCTGGTCATGTGTATTTTGTTGCACAGAGAGTCCAACTGTATCAGTTACGTGTTTTGAACCCTAGATTTTTCTTTGGCGAATGAACTGTTTTTCTTTTGTGACAGGTCATCAAATTTGCAAGAGGGAAATCTGCCAATTCACATCGCGGCATTGAATGGACACGAGCGGATTGTTGAAGCGTTGCTGAATCACGGGGTCAACCCTGACGTGCGACGAAAAGACGGACTTGCCGCTCTTCACATTGCCCTCAAGGGAGATGGAACAAACTTGTTGCCTGTGCTGGAAATGCTGGCCTTGAAGGGAGCAAATTTGAACGTGGTCACTGGCAACGAGCAGCACAAGCGACCCCTTGACATTGCCCTGGATGTTGGGCTGCCCAATGACGTCATCCGTTTTCTAATAGAACACGGCGCTAAACGAGGCGATGAAACCCTGTGACCTTGCTTCATGATTGTGTGATGTACAGAGAATTCCCATGTAACAACATTTTTTTTTATTCTCTCTGGAAAGTGGATAAATATTTCAGGATGTGTAAGGTGAGAAACATTTGAATTAAAATTATTTCTACAAAGTAAAATTTCAAAATCCCCATTGAAACTATCAGGGCCGGCCCTGGGGTGGGAGGCGCCTTTGGCCAAGAACAAATTTGGCGCCCTTTGAAAATAAAAAATGAAAATGTTAGCAGGCATCAAAATATAAAAAAATCAATGATTTTTCAATGTTCTGGGAGTGGAACACCCTGTACCATGCATATATGAGGAAGGCAAATAATAAAAGTATAATCTTGTTAAAACAAACTTGTGGGGACTTCAGAAAAAGTTTGTTAAAACAAATAATTTGTTGAGACAAGAATTTGGAAATTATTAACTGATTTCAAGATTCTCTTAAAATACACCTGAACATATTCTACATCTTCTTTTTTGGCCTTTTCAGATGTTTTTCAGTGTTTAAAAAACTTGATCTTCATAAACAAGATTAATTCCTTAATAAAAAAACATTTACTCTGAATGAAATGTAAACACTAGCACTTTTGTTGGGAAAAGGAGGAGGAGGGGTTAACTGCCAAAACTTTTGAGAAGTCCTTGGCACCCCAGAAAACAATCCTCACAAAGGGTACATCTTTACAGCAGTAATTTAGCACAAAGCTCCGTGTTTTGACAGAGCCAACAGATGTCAAGCTGGCAGAAATTAGTACTTCCTTTGTGGAAAATGCTGTTTTCCTTCTTCAGGAAAAACCATTTTCTCTACAATCCCGATGATTTGCTTCTCATATTTCTCTCCTCTCAAAGGAGTAAAAAAGCATAAAGAAGCAGAGAATCCCAGTTCCCCTTTTTCCAACAAAAATTGATGGCCAGCAAAGCTTGTTACAAACGCTGAAACAAACGGCAAAAATGTCATGCCAAAATGAAAGAAGAGATCAGCCTGGCTGATAAAACAACTGAAAGAAAGCCTTGGTGGTGGATTTGGCTTTTGTGAGAAATTATCAACTGAGTCAGCCTTCATGTCTTGTTTTTGACACAATTTATTGGCCATCCCCAAAGTTCCAAGAAAACTTTGGGGATTATATTTCTCAAAAGAAGGGACGCGCATATGAAAATTGGCGCGCCAAAAAGACAAATGGCAAAGCCAGCTGGCGGCAGTTAAGCCACCAGGAAGATAACCCCCCAAAAAATGGTGGGGGTTCCCCGGTTTTATGAGGGTCTGAATTACCCCAAAATACGAGAAATCCAATGCTTGCCGCGCATGTGTCATTCAAAACAAGGACGTATAATGACCCGTGTCAAATGTTCCTGAAAGGAGCCGATTCCTTTCACACGGGTCTGAATATTTGATTTTTTCTCTCCCCCAAAAATCCCAATTTTTGGGAAATAGGCTTTTGCCTAAATTGCCGTGTCCCAATAAATTGGCCCCTCAACAGTTGGGCTGAATTTACCGGGATCCGGCTGAAGTCCACAATGTTGCTGGCGACGGACCTTTGATACAGACAAAGGACATGAACAGCATAAAAGGACAGACCCGCCGACAGAATCTGTTCAGTTAAAAATCAGTAGTTGTTGAATACAAAAGCGCTGTTTGAAATTCTTGTCAGCTGTTCTAAACTTGCTCAAACTTTCCTTTGCCCCTCACCCCACTCATTAATGTGGATGGCCGCGCATGTGTGCGCAACTTAGTTTCCATCATTACCTGCCCTAATTACAGTTCTCCCCAGGCAGTCAACTGCCCCATAAATCCTCGCAGTATACGGTGTTGTGGAATACGTGCGTGTCTCCTTTCCTTGTCTGGCGGAATGGCCATTGCTAGAGCAATGACCTTATACTGTCTGGTTTTTCCAAAGTTAATAAAAGGCCTTGTACGACCCAGTAGACTTCAGTGGTAAAGATACCCTCAGAGAGGAACCGAGTCCGTTGTAGGCTGGTTGTATTTTTGCGTATATGTTGGATCTGAATAAACACTTGTAAAGTCAATCTTACTTGTGTTTTACTTCCTCAATTGTCTTGAGTACTTGAAGTACTTGGTCCAGGATCTACCTGGTAAAAATGGTGCGAATCTGTGAAATAAATAAAGTTGTCTACACTTCAAATTGGTCATCCTCTTGAAGTTTTTCAATACTGTGTCACCGAAAGAAATAGTTACAGTGTCCTACGCCATGTTTATA